ACTACTGACGCAATTTGGCAGCAACTGGCGCGCTGGCCACCGCCAGCATGCCTCAGTTTGCATCGGGGATTTGGCCAAGGCAGCACAATATACTCCGAAGATGCAATCCCTCTTCGTCGAGGCAGTTCAAATTGCGCATGACATGTTCGCGGTTAACCGCGATCCCTTTCATAATCATCTTCAAGTCCTCAAGCATCATTTGCTCTTGTCACCAACGCGCGCGGGTTTGCCTTTGATGGCCCAGCGATCCCGGGACATCCTGACGGACGTATCGTGCAATCACCATCGGGGGGTGGGAATGTCCTGCATGTGCCGGCAATGTCAACGTGCACTCCCCATCACGCAGCAGAAATCCTAAACCTTGTAGGTGGTGTGACTCGGAGGGTTATTATTGGGAATGTCCAAACTGCCAAGAGAACCATGGGAAGACTATGCCTGGCCACTTACTGACCCCCGGCAAATGCAAGCTTGTCGAACCGTGGAAGATGCCAGACAACCACGGGCAGGGGCCACCAGCCCATACTGAACTGGCAGCTCCAACCCGCGGCGGCAGCTGCTTCTGACGCACCACCACCTTCGGCGGCAGCTGCTTCCGAGGCAACGGCCGTCGAACAAGTTGCGCGGCTACGTGCTCCGAGACCTGGCTTCAGAGCTGGACCGATTGCGGGCGCTGGCATGCCGCGACGTCACAGTAGGCAGACATGCTGCAGAGCCAAGTGGCGCCGGAAGCTCGGGCGACCACAGACGATTGCAACAGGTGATAGCCAGACGTGGACGACAGCAGGGAGGTGATCCACCTCCATCGCCTCCTGCAGGTTACCCTTCTGCGCGTCCGAGACTTCCGGACTGGTCAAGATCTGGCGTGCAGATCAGCCTACAGAACCTGCGTAGCTTCGACCCAAGCGTGGTAACACGCGAGCTACGGAAATTACATCTGCGATGGCCCCACGCTAAGGAGCCTAAGGTGAGACTCATCTTAACCAAGGCTGGTCTGGACAGTGTGAGGCTAAACCTGATAAAGGGCGTCTGTGATACATGCCAGGAGTGTAGGGCCTGGGACATGCCTGGACATATTATAATGTCACCTACCGCGCTACCTGGCAATGTCAATGATGAAGCCGAATGCGTCTCAATGTTCTACAAGCAGGAACATAAGGTATTTCACATCGTCGACCGCTGCATTCGATGCGGTGCTGGGATTGAGATACCAGGCAAAACTATGAGCAGCATCCTAGATGCGTACCATCAGTGCTGGAAGCAATTCGGGCTCGCCAGAATACTGTGCTCCGACGGAGAAGGCGCTCTCAATGACGGCGCCGCGAAGGCAGTCCTTAAGGCGAAAGGCACCGAGCTGAGAATGCGCGCGCGTGGGCAATGCGCTATCACCATTCGAGCCAGAAGCGGCATATCACGACACCTGCTTCGCGTCATGGAGGCTGATCTCAATAGGTTAGACATACCACTTCTGTTCACCCAACTATTGCATGATGCACTGTTTGCCAGCAGTCCGTTTAACTTCTACAGCGAGGTATCACCGTGCAACGTATTATTTGGCCGACGCCCGACTATCCCTCCCCACCTGCCTGTTCTAGATCACGAACAACAGACGGAGACATCCGATCGCGACCGAGATTATCCGTCGCGTAAGCATCGAGGCTATCACACAAGCCACAGCGATAGCAAAGGCGAGCCGTGCACTACGGACCAAGACGACCATCGTTCGTCAGCATTATTGCGACGATGGTGACCTTGTTGACTACCATCGCCCCACAACCACGAAAGACGACTGGGGTGGTTGGAATGGGCCATTCCCGGTCGCGCGGAATCATCCCGAGAGGGGCCAAGTTATCGTGCGAGTTCGGAACCGCGATGTACAAGTGCAGTGCGGTGATGCAAGACACTCGCTCTATATTGAAGCTCTGATGACTCGAGGAATTGGCTCGGACAACGCAGCCCTGCGTGCTGCGTTGGCCTTCGTAGCCAGTTTGCCTGCGGGGAAACCTGCTATGACCTTCGGCTATCTCCCGACTTACAAAAGAGGGCTCCAGATAGCAAGTGCGAGCTGATGATCTCCGAAGGTGCACTTAGCTCTCGAGGATCTTATCTGGAACTTCTTCCGCATCGAAAGCGTTACTCCTGTTAGGTTTTTTGAGTATCCACAAATTACCTCCGGTAACGTATGCTGACAGTTGTGCGCTGGTGCATTATGACAACGACGTGCACCCAGGATTCAATTATGATGAAGCTGAAGGCGTTGCCTTAAATATCCAAGATATAACCGGATCATCACACTCGAGAATCATCCAATGCCTGGAGTCCACCAAACCACGAACGGGCTTCAATCAAGACATGACAACGTTCGAAGAACTGGCAGACATGCCAACGCAGTGCTGTAATGCCAGGGATGCCCCAGAAGCCGAACCACCACAGGAGGATGGCTGGCATCCCACAATCTATGAGGAATCAGAGGCGGACCTCGAGGCACAGATCATGGAGGTATGGTGTACAGAACTAGAAGACGAAAGGGAACTACTGAAAGCATACCCGGTAGAAAAACTTTATGCTGCACCTGCACAGAGGATCTCTGACAACGGCGTGCTGGTCACAGTAGCTGACGAACAGGGAGGGCGCTTGCCTACGCGGGGTAGCCCACAGAGTATCAACACTACCGAAACATATCACTTCCCGCTGTGTTCCACGGGCGACGATGACAGTTACGGACTAGACTCCGACAAGCACGGGCAGTATGTGGAGCTCTGCTTTACGGCAGAGATGTTGAAGGTAGTCTTTTCCGAACGACAACATATGATACTGGATGTCGACAGTTTTACCGCGATGCCGGTATATGAGACCGCTGCAGCTAAACGGGCTGTGGTCGTCAAGGAGGACGACCTTCTCACGGATGCAGATATCCAGGCGAATCCAGTCATGGTGTCGAAGGCCTTGTATACTGAACGCAAGATATGGTTTGGCAGCAAGCGTTTCAAGATGCGAGACATCTCCGGAGCGTGAAACATCATGACTTCGAGATACGTATGCAAATTTAAACTCGCCAAGAATGAGAAGGGCGACGTGGGGCGTGCCATCAGGTTGCGCCTGGCACTTCGGGGCTTCATGGACCTCGAAGAGTTGAGAGAAGCTTTCTCAGGAAGGGAGCGGCGGTCAAGCTAGCCATTGCTCGCCAGCGCGGCAGCGTGCAGGAAGCAGTGGACCACTGCTTCCCTTGACGTCAACATGGTCTTCTTGAAAGGGGCTCGCATATCTTGAGCTCGCTGAAACAGCCGGTGAAGAGGAGCGCGCGGCTTGCTGTACCCTGCCACTGCCACCTGGGCCAGCATCTGCGCTCGGATCGCTCCCAGTATTCGCGCGCGATGACGAGTCAAGACGCTGTCTACAGTGCCTTAAACCAGGCACAGGCACCAAAGATGCGCCAAGAGCCCTTCCGCTGAAACTCAGGAAGACCACGGGTGGCTTTGGATTCGGACCCGGATCTTACGACGAGGGGTTTGAGATGAGCACCGACCTGTTCACCGCCAAGCTTGTTGATGATATAAACATGGCCTGTGCTGAGGACACCATTGACACATGCGTCAAGTGTGTTGATGATACATTTGGGAACTGTGACCTCAACAAGCATACATGCACCAACTGTGCTGTGAGGTATGCCAAGGACAGCGGCGGTACTGTTACTCTTGACCATGAGGAATATATGACGCAGCTCCGCCCCATCCAGCACTGCGAACTCACGGGCGCAGATGCTGAGGTCGAAGCATCGAAGATGGTCGCTGACATCATTGTCAGCCTCAGAGGCGTTCTGGCTTACGCCCTCATCACACAAGGATGGCGAATGGTATACGTCGTATTGCAGCGTGTCCTGGAACCGACCAATACGTAAGTGCGACGACTCAACGTGATTGCCATGAAGCTGCAGGCCTGCCCAAGGAAGATCGTTTATAAAGCGATGATGCTAACGGGTGAGGTCGGCCTGCGCAGCGACTCCGGCTATCGTCGCCTAAACGGCGATGCCGGTGACGAGGTCAAAGGCCATGGTATTCGTGGGCAAACCTGCTAAGGCGTGGGCGCACGCATGCTGGTAAGCTTGTCGTCCATCTTGTCGACGCGTACTGCAACTCTCACCGCTTGCAGGTCCGCTCTAGCAATTCGGCTGAAGCGCTAGCAGTAGCCCATAACTTGGAGGACTGCTACCCCACGGCTGTCGCGCTACACGAACTCGACGTACGGCCGCTGACACCCACTCGATCGAAACATATTATTGAGATGGGCGGCCTCAGCATTAAGGTCACCCTCGCCATTGATGCGGAATCTGTCTTCAAGTCCTTGCCAAACAAAGACCTGAAGAAACCGACTGAGTGTACCTTCCTGGGCCACATCAGTTGGATACGGCAACTACACCCGCTTCATGACTGCAGATGGTCACACCAAGAGGGGCATCGACCAAGGTATGATCTTACGAGTAATGGAGGGAGTGCAATCCTTCGAGCATGATTTGAAGCGACATACCCCCTACAGGGTCGGCCAGACGAGAACATCTGAGCCGCCCGAGGAGCAATAAGTTGCGGGGTAAACCTGTTGAGTTTTGAACCCGCTGGCTGCTGCCTTTCCTTTGACGTGTAACTGTTTTGCCGAAGTAGGCCGGGCGCGGACTCACGCTTCGTCTTCTCCCACCCGAGTTTGAAAGAGGAAGGGCAAAAGGCGAGAGTTATCGAGCGTTTGTCCGCGGCCGCTTGGGCTCAAGCGACGGGCCGCCGATTTGACTGTGCCGCTCTGCGGCGCACTATCAGACATCGATACGGAAAACATTCCCTTGGGATGCCATCTTGCCGCTCACGCGGCCAGCTTCTGTCTCTTGCTTTATCGTTACTACGATGCAGCAGGGGTAGTCTGATGCTGCGCCTGCGGCGTAGTATTTTTGGTTGGGCCGACCACTTCACTTCAAACTCCCTGGCCCGCCCCCCCTGGCCGCGCATGTGCCTCGGGCCATGACCTGGCGGCTCCCCCTTTATAGGACGCCACCCCCCCTCGTGGACGCTCCCTTGAGGAACTCAACGTGCTGGCCCCCTGCCTCGAGAATGTCTTCTCGGCGGCGAGCGCGGGGGGGAACCGAGAAGGAAAAGGCATTCTCAGGAGGTCCGGAAATCCCCCAGCCTTCTGAAAAGTTTTGTAAGGCTTCCTCGAAGACCAAACTTCCCAGAAGGCGCGAGGGCTTCTGAGATGTCCCGCCGCCTTCTGAAAAGTGCCTTCTCCTACTCATTTCGCCCCCCGCGCTCGCTGCCGATCGTCGACGGCATGGACAGCCTGCGCGTGGGCAGGCTGTCGCTCGAGAGTGTGATGCTGCAGCTGCCCTCGGTGAAGCTGCCCAAGGGCATGCCCAAGAAGCTGTGCCAGATGATACAGGTCGGCTTCTGAGCCCCAGCCCTACCCTCGCCGATCATCGATTCAGGATTCCGGCACCTCGATGGGCGGCGGGGGTAGGGCTCGGATGTCGCGTCGCCACCCAGCGGGGCGAACCCAGGGGGGAAGTCTGAGGGGCAGGCTTGTTTCCTTGATTTATTCTTCCTTACGCCTACGACTTGTTCATGTTATTGTTATTATTATTCTTATTTTTCTTCCTCGTATCAGTATTATTAAGCCCCTTACTCGTGTTGTTGTTCTTCGTATTCTTCTTCCTCTTTCTCTTCTTCTTCATCATCCCCTGGTCCCGCCGCCGAACAGGGGGAGAGGCTGATGGACATCTTCAGCTGCGTCATCGACGACGGCGGCACCATGAGCAAACGCGAATTCGTGAACGTCATCTGCGAACTCGCCTGCTCGGATGTCGATGTCCGGGGAAGAGAAATCGGCATAAGCTCGGCCACGCGCAGAAGGGGGGTAGGGGAAGAGGGGAAGGCTTCCCAGAAGCACCCCTGCTTCTAAGAAGGCGCGGGCCCTTTCCATGCAGCGCCGGCGCCTTCTAAGAAACAGCTTCCTTCTAAGAAGCCTGCCGCCGTCCCCGTGCCCCCCCTCCCTCCCTCCCTCCTCCTCCTCCTCCTCCTCCTCCTCCTCCTCCTCCTCCTCCTCCTCCTCCTCTTCCTCCTCCTCCTCCTCCTCCTCCTCCTCCTCCTCCTCCTCCTCCTCCTCCTCCTCCTCCTCCTCTACGCGCCGCCAATAAGCACGAGCTTCCGGGGCTCCGCGCGGATTTCTTTGATCGGCGCTGGACCCCCCTCTCTGGCGCGCGGAGCGCGTCAGTTGCGGCTCCGGGGGCGCCGTCGGGGCGGCCCGGAGGCGACTTGGCGCCGATCCAAGAAGTCCGGGTGGTCCCTCGGGAGATTATGCCATGCTTGTACAAGCATGGCATAATGCACAAGCTTGTGCACGCTTGTATGCGTGCACAAGCTTGTGCAGTGCACTGTGCTTCCAGAGGTGGAGACGATGCAGATGCTCCACCTGCTCCGCCACATTCAGGCGAGGGGGGGCAAAGAGATTCGGGTCGACCCAAAAGGAGGTCCAGCGACAAGGGGGTGGTGCAATAGGTTTGGTGCAATAGATTTGTGGGGTTGCAATACATTTGGGGTGTATTGCCAGACTTTCGCGTGCAATGCATTACTTGCAATGCAATGTAATACACTTCTCCGGCGCAATACGTTTGCAATACAATTGCCCCAAATCTATGGCACCACCCCTTTTCAGCTGGACCTAAAGAGATTCCTTTCGTTGCGCGGGGTGAACGTCCAGAGCGCGCACAGTCCAGTCGTTGCGGGGCCTGGCGGGAGCCTCCTTGGGTCTTCTTGGAGGCCTCTTGGGGGCTTCTTGGGGCCTCTTGGGAGCCTCTGGGGCCGAAAGCTCGGAACTTGAATCTGGTTTTGCCTCTTGCGCCATCTGGCCCCTTCGGAGGCCGTCTTGGGGGTCTCTCGCGGCCGCCTGGGGGCTCTCTTGGGGTCCTCTTGGGCCGACTTGGGGGCTTCTTGAGCCGTCTTGGGGGCCTCTTTGGGACGTCTTGGGGGACCATGGGCCGTCTTGGGGCCTTCCTGGGGGCTTCTTGGGCCGTCTTGGGGCTATTTTGGGGGCTGCTTGGGAGTCGAAATGGCGAGAGCGCTCAAATCCGTCAAACCCCCCAGGGAAAGTCAATTACGTATTGTGAAGGCCTGACGGCCGGTTCCGCCGACCCTGAAAGACATCGACGACGACCAGGAGGGGGAGGAGAAGGAGGAGGAGGAGGAGGAAGGACGGCTTCAGGTCCCAGACCAAATTCGCCGTGAGTGAGTAAGTGAGTGAGTGAGTGAGTGAGTGAGTGAGTGAGTGAGTGAGGAGGAGGAGGAGGCGCAGATGAGGAGGAGGAGGCGGAGAGAAGGAGGAGAAGGAGGAGGTGGAGGAGGAGGAGGAAAAGGACTCCCCCCTGGGGCCGCCCCCCCTGGGGAGGAGGACCGGAGGAGGGCCAGCGTGGGAGAGGGGAGGGGAGGGGTGAGGAGGACCCCCAGGGAGGACAGTCAATGATTTTGGCCTCCGGAGGCGCCCTTCGTCCTCCTCCTCGCTCCTCCTCCTCCTCCTCCTCCTCCTCCCCCTCCCCCCCCCCCCTCCTCCCCCCCTCCCTCTCCTCCCCGGAGGCAGAGGCCCCTCCCGCGGGAGGAGGATAAAAAACGCCCCTACCCTGGTTTTCGAGGCGCTGTGCCCTGACAGGGTAAACCCTGCGTGATGTGCCGCGTCCTGGCGGCTCTGGGCTTTCGGGGTTCCCAGGAGGTTCACAGACCACGCACTTGTAACCCAGGGTAGGGCCGTTTTTTTCATCCCTCAACTAGAGGAGTCCTCTTGCGGTCTCCGAGGGCCGCCTTGTGTGCCTCCGTGGCCCTCTTGGGGCCATCTTGGGCCGTCTTGAAGCCGTCTTTAGCCGTCTTGAGTCCGTCTCGAACCCGTGTCGATGCTGCGCAGTACCTATGTTCTGCGAAGCCCGATTGCCCCATTTGGGCCCAGAAAACTACGTTCTTGATGCTTCAATCGGCGTAAAATGTTGTGTTTTCTAGTGTTGCAGACGACATCCTCAGGGCTGCAATCCGCAGATTGGCAGAATCTGCGGACAGTTAGGTCGGCCGCTATGCAACGGCTCGAGATATAGGCCCCAACAACAACCCAACCCATGAGGCCCGAGATGCCGAGATAATATATTCCCACTCGTTTGCGGTTTTTTGTAGCCCAGAGAGGGGGCAACCACTTTTGGTACAGTGCGTGTGGCGTGGCCTCGGGGAGGGGCGTATAGGGGGTGACATAGTAATGCAAAACAGTATATATCTATAACTAGAACCACGCGCGCGCTTCGTGCGCGCTTAGGTTCTAGCCAGCTCCAGCCCCTGACAGTCTCACAGTTGCGTGCAGATGCGCACGCGCACATGCAACGTCAGGAGCCACCCACAAGTTGTACGGGTTTCTTGGGGGCCTCTTGGGGGCGTCTTGGGGGCTCTTCGAGCGTCTGAGGGGCTTTGTGGGGCGTCTTGGAGCCTCCTGGCGGCCTCTTGGGAGCGATCGTGAGGTCTCAGCAACCCATCGGAGGCGACAAGGCGAGAAGGCGAAAGTCACTGATTTTCCTTTTGTTTCGGATGGGTTTTGGCTTGACGTTCCCGCTGAACCTCCCGCGCTCTTCCGACCTACATGGCGGATCACCAGGGCGACGTGCGCTACTCGCGGTCGGCCGTGGGCTCCGGGGGCCGCTGCGACCGCTGCCGCCGTTGCCCTTCCCATCCTACGTAGGGATGGAGTGCACCGGGGCCGCCGCAGGTCCAGATCCAGGGGGCGGGACCACCGCGGACCCGCGCCAGGTGGCCGCCATGAGGCCCCAGGTGGCCGCCGTGAGGTCACAGGTGGCCGCCGTGAGGTCACGTCTGGCCGCCATGGGGCCATGGGCGGCCGCCGCGAGGCCCCCGTTTTCAAATCCCCATTCGCCCCGCGCGTGATCTTTCTCGGGGACCACCGGGGCGACGTGCACTACTCGCGGTCGGCCGTGGGTTCGGGGGCCGCTGCGACAGCTACCACTGGTACCCTTCCCGTCCTAGGGATGGGGCGCGCCAGGGCCGCCACGGGTTCAGATCCAGGGGCCGGGGCTACGGCAGACCCGCGCCAGCTAGCCGCCGCGAGGTCACGTCTGGCCGCTGTGAGGTCACAGGTGGCCGCCGTGAGGTCACGTCTGGCCGTCTGGCCGCCATGAGGCCATGGGCGGCCGCCGCGAGGCCCATGCTTTCAAATCCCCACTAACCCTGCGCAGTACGTGCAGCGCAGGGGGCGGTGGACCGTCTCCCCATCCCACCATCATAAGGTGGATGCGAAATCCGTGGGGACGGGGCGGGGTGGGCATGGGCTGGCGCGTCATCAGCTGGCCCACTACCAAAAAGAAGCACCATAGCTTCTACGTCAGTGCACAAGACTGATCCACTGACGGCTTCAACCCATCTTCCGTTCATTGGCACCAAACTCATGCGCAGCAGCATGCTCTCCCCCTGATGAGTGCGGCCGGGGGTCGTCCAAGGCCGTGGGGAAGGGTCGAATTTTCGGTTTTGGGACCCTGGTGGTGGGTTTGTGGGATTCGGGCGGAAAAATCTCAGTCGCCTGGAGGCCCACAAGGGGTCGCCGGGTACCAACTCCCTGGACCTCTCCCAAGGTGCGTTCCGACCAGACTTTCGAGGCGCATCTAGCTGTGGCAGCGAGGCCTCCCAGAAAGTCCGAGAAGGCAAAAACGAGGGGCCGGTAGCGGTATCGCTACTCCAGATTTCGTAATAAAGGGAGGGGGGTCTCATTTCGGGGGGGGTCTCTTCCAGGCTATCTTGGAAGGCCTGGGGGGGTCTGGGGACGATGTTTTGGAGGGTTCTCCCACGGGGGAGGTCTGAAATGGCTTGTCTTGGAGGGTCCAGACCCCCTCCCTTTTATTACGAAGTCTGGAGTACTTTTTCCTCTGCAGGCGAGGGTGAGCCAGCTCGAGCCGGCGGGCGCCGCCGCCCCAGCGCGCTGGCAGCCGTCAGCCTCGCTCCGGGCCAGCCTGTCCCAGCTGAGCGTGATTCCGCCCTGGGAGGTCGAGGCGCCCCAGTCTTGCCCGTCTTGCCCCAGCACCCCTGGGCGCGCCGGGACTCCCGACTCTGCTTCTTTCAGCCAGTCGCAGATCGGCGAGATCACGCACCCAGCGCCAGAAAGGCTCTCCGTTCTTTTGCCCTGACCAACTCGAAGAAGGAACGACTACGTTCGCGTGCGCCTTCGGAGCTCCGCGCGGATTTGCCGGATCGGCTCTGGGCCGCTCCCTTGGCGGCGTCTCTGGCGCCGCCCTTGGCGCGCTCTGCGCGCCAGGGATGGGGCCTGGCGCCGATCCAAGCAATCCGTGCTGAGCTCTGAGAGTTATGTTCATGCAGTGCTTTGTCACCGATCGTTTTTGCGAGCGCCAGAGAAGGTCGCCGCCGTTTTTCCCTGGCTGGATGTCGGTGCAGCTTGCTAATCAGTGCGGTGTCCCGTTCTCTCGTGCACACGCCTCGGGGACCCACGAAGAGGGTCAGCTTCTTGCCGCTTCGCGCATCCCCGCCTGCCCATCCAGAAACGAACGTCTGGCGAGAGGCCTTTGACTGTGGAGCTGCAGGGGCGGGCAGTGGGAGCGGAGAGGCGAGGCGGCCATCAGGCCGAGACTCTCGGGACCAGCCCGAGGATGTCCAGAGGCGAACCCTCAAAAAAGCCTGTCGTCGCAGGAGGAGGCGGAACATCCTGCGGAGAAGGGAGGGGGCCCCGGCCCCGACAGCCCTCTGTAGCACCTTCTCGTGGCTCGGCACTTTGGGGGCTCGCATGGCGAGTTGCGGGAGCCCTGTCGGTGCCAGTGCGCCGCGGCGGCACGCGGGCCGCGCGAAGCGCAAGCGCGCGTCGGCTCCATTTCGCAAGCGCCGACGGCAGGTTGGCCCCGCACGGTCCTCAGCGGACGAGGGTAAACGTGGGCCGCTCGCGCAGAATACAACCGCATCTTCGTATACTGCAAACAGCCTGTGCGTATGATCATCTTTGGGGGACGTTCCGAGCCCCCTTTGGGGCCATCTTGGAGGACATCGGTCAAGACGGGAGCGGCGTAGATTGAATCGACAATGCCCCACTGGAGCACGACACATCACCTCTTGGAGCCCTCTTTGGGTCGCTTCCTGGGACCCTCTTGGGCGCTCTCAGAGCCGTCTTGAAGCCACTTCAGTGGAGATCCATGCCAAGCAACACCCTGCTTGCCTCCAGGGTGCCCTGAGTTCCTTGGGTTTCGATGGTTTTGCTGTGGAAAGCGCGACGCTCCCACGCCAACAGTCAATGGACGTCCTGGGGTCTCAGGGTTGGGTTTCTTGTGACAGGTTTCTTGTGATCTGGCCTCCACTGTATGAACCCTTCTAGGGGCTCTCTTGGCTCATCTTGGAGCCATCGTGAGGCTTCAGACGCCCACCGGACGCGGAACGGCGGAACGGCGAGCACCATTCAGCAACCATAGGCTTTGGACGGAGGTTGGCCTCTTGGGGGTATCATTGAGACGCCCAGTGGCCTACATAGCCATGTCCGCCTATAGAGCTGATGGGATTTGTCCGATTGCGCGTTGAAAGCGGGCTCTGGGTCAAATGTGTGTTGCGAGGTGACCGTGGACGGGCCGTTCCAGAAGAATTTGTATCGAAGGCCTGGACCATACCGCTATCATGACGCGCGTTACGGCCCTTTCCCCCTCCCCTCCATGGCGTAACGCCCTCTCGCCCCAACATGCCGCCCCCACCCCTTCCCCCCTCCGCATAACGCCCCCTCCCCCCCCGCATAACCCCCCCCCTCCCCCTCCCCCTGCTGTTCCCAAGCGGTCCCAAGAGAGTCTCGAAGGGGCTGGGAGACCGCTAGAACGCCTCCAAGACGGACAAGATGATGCCAAGATGATGCGCACGTGCCGCCAGAGGGTCACAGTGGCTTTCAATGGCCCCGAGATGGCCCCTCCTGGGCTCGCGACATGCAGACCTCACAGTTGTTATTTGTGTTCACTCGCATGTCTGCCACCGCGGCCCCTGCCCCATTGGGGAGGTTCGTTCCTTAAGCGTTTCGCAGCTTGCCTCAGGTTTTCCCTATGTTTTCGATCGGAAATCGAAGTTTAACTTATGGAAAAAAGGGACCTCGTTCCTTATTTAGGGTTCCTTAGGTCAACGCCCCGACTGTATATGGGCAGAACGCGCCACACGAGGCCTCCAAGAGGGTCCGCGGAGCTCAACGCAAAGCTGACCTCACATACCCATATGAGGTTCCCAGGTGTCGTCTTCTGGAGGCTCGGGGGTGGGGTGGGGGGAAGGGCGAGTCTTCCCATGGCACCCCGCAGAGGCGGATCAGAGCGAGGAGGCGGAGGGCTGTCGGCGTCTGCCGGGCTCTGAGGAAGCCCCCCGCAGGCGCCGATGGTTCACAGATGGTTCACATATTGCACAATGACCCCAGAGGGGGAGGAGGAGGAGGAGGAGGAGGAGGAGGAGGAGGAGGAGAGGAGGAGGAGGAGGAGGAGGAGGAGGAGGAGGAGGAGGAGGAGGAGGAGGAGGAGGAGGAGGAGGAGGCAGAGGAGGAGGAGGCGGAGGCTGGAGGAGGAGGGGGGAGGAGGAGGAGGAGGAGGAGGCAGAGGAGGAGGCGGAGGAGGAGGAGGAGGGGGGAGGAGGAGAGGAGGAGGAGGAGGAGGAGGAGGAGGAGGAGGAGGAGGAGGAGGAGGGTCGCGGGCGGGTGGCGGGCGGGTGGCGGGCGGGTCGCGGGCGAGTCGCAAGGGAGGGTCGCGGGCGAGGAGGGCGACAACAACAGGCAACAGCCAGCAACAGCGACTCTCGCCGCAGAAGCCTACCTCAGGCACGCGCCCAGCGATGATGTACGATCGTTCCGCCTCCCCATTCATTCTGGTCTGAGTCCAGAAGGGGTTGATCGTTTTCTGACTAGGAGTGGCTCTCGCGCCGGGATCCTCTTGAGATCATTCTTTGCAAGACTGCCATGCCCCTGGGGACTCCCTCCCAGATGTCCCTGGGGTTAGCGCATCACCGTTTCACATTGTGAGCGTTGCCTCACTGGACCTTCATCGCGAATGTCGCAAGCATTTCCGAGTCGAGCTGCGAGATCCTCACAGAGGTGGTCGCCACGACATCCCTTCTATGTCCGAGTCTAACAGAGACCGTCCTGGTTGCCATGCGTGTAGGTGCGGGCGGCGAGATCCGCATCGCTCAGTGTTTTGAATACACTGCGGTGGTGGAGGTCATCTCTTCGGCGCCTGGGCTGGCCTGCGGATCGTTGGGGACTGTCCCCCCCCCCCCGATGGCGTCACGAGCTGCGACGGCGCCAGCGGGCACAGTGGCTCCCATTGGCACGCCGTAGGGTGGTGCGCACCCCGGCGGCGCCTCGCAGATCCGTAGGCACGGCGGGCCTCCAGAGGGAATTCGTCAGGAGGGAAAGAAACACACAGACGCAATTCATCGTCGACTCCCCAGAAAATATGGGAAAATATGGGAAGTGGGGGGGAAGACGGAAACGCAGAACATATGGGAACGTATAGGGAATCCTTTTATTTGTGTGTATTCATTTGTGTGTCCTAGTGCCCCTTCAAGATCGGGGCGAGGGTGCAGATGGCCGTGGATGGGTGCGCTTCACTCTGGGCTGCCGTCCTCTGAGTTTGTGAATCGCAATCGAGAGCTCTGCAGCTGCTCCAGACCTCGAGATAATGCGTCAACCAACCAACCGTGCGCAGAAAATGGTGTCGACGTGATGTTGGCTGCTCCACGTGTTTCGATCGATGGTAGTGGTATAGCCACTCGGCCACAGGGCTCCGACTCGCTCTTGCCATTCGAGAGGCTTCGCAACAAAACAGGAATGTCTCAACAGGATCTCTGAGGAGCCCGACGGTTCCCCAAGATGTCCCCCGCGAGGGCCCCAGGAGCGCTCCGAGAGGGCCCAGGACCCAGCGCTCCTGGACAGCCAGGGGGTCCCTCAAGGCCGCTCCCGACCCCCCTCGACGGACCCCCCTCGACGGTCCGCCCCGGGCGCCCCGGTTCATATGGGGGGAGGAGGAGGAGGAGGAGGAGGAGGAGGAGGAGGAGGAGGAGAAAGGGGACGAGGAGGAGGCGGAGGAGGCACGTCGAACCCCATGCCCGGCCCTTACCCCCTAACAGCGACCCCGAGTAATCCCCCAAGACTCCCCACGATCCGAGGCGTGAGTTTATACATGACCACCGCCTGGAGGATCCGTTTTCGAATGGTGTAGGGCCTCCAGGGGCTTCCTTGGACGGACATTTCGCATGGTGTAGGGCCTCTGGAGGCTTCCCTGAACGGATGGTTTCGCATGGTGTAAGATGGACGTTCTCGCATGGTGTAGGGCCTCTGGCGGCTTCCCTGGACGGACGTTTTCGCAAACGTTTTCGCATGGTGTAGGGCCTCCGGGTGCTTCCCTCGACGGACGTTTTCGCATGGTGCTGGGCCTCTGGGGGCTTCCGTGGACGGACGTTTTCGCATGGTGCAGGGCCTCCGGGAGCTTCCCTGGCAGACGGTTTTCCAAGGGAGCTGGCTTTCGGGAAAGTAGCTTCAGGGGGACTCAAGGGTGGCCTCATCGCCTCCTCTCCTAGGGGTCATGTCAGTTGGCGCAGGCGCCGTGCTACCCTTCAGGGTCGGGGTTTCCATGCCGCCCGCGCGCGGCGTCCAGACAGTCGAATTCGCATGCGCTGCAACGGGCGGATGCGAAATTCCGCCTGGACCCGCAGCCCGCAGTTGTCTGTAACTTTGCGTTCCATCAGTCGACCCAGCGCGCGTATCTAGATTCAGTGCTCGCGGAAAACATGCTGTGCAATGACATGGCAGAGGATTCGCTGATTCTCTTCCCTTCCTCCCCCCCCGCCCTGCGCCCCATCCGGCCCTCTGTATCTGCTGCCCCTCTGGCGGCCCCCCGTTCCCCTGCTCCGCTGCTCCCCCCGCGCCACCCTGCCGCCCGGACAGCTCGCGTGCCTGACTGGCGCTGCGTGGCTGCCAGAAGTTCGGTGACGGCGACGACGAGGGCGGCGGCGGCGACAGGGGGGTCGCCTGCCCGGCCCTGCGCCCGCTCGCCCCCGGAGGGGCCAGGGCGGGAAGCCGAGGCGGAATTGGAGTCTCCTCCTCCTCCTCCTCCTCCTCCTCCTCCTCCTCCTCCAGCCGTTCTGCGCTCTAGTAGCGTTGCTGGCACTCGATTCAGAGCGGCACTTGGTGTCAGCGAGTCAAAAGGCTCGTCTCAAAGCTTTCTCATTCTTTCATGGGGCGCGATGGCGGCGGCGGGAAGGGAGGTGGCAAAGGCCATGGGGCGACCCACTGGTCTGGCGCCCCTCCGCCGTGGCATTTCGCGCAAAACCACAACCTCAGCGGCGGCGGCGGCGGAGGTGGTGGATACTGGCAGCAGCAGCCCACCCTCGAGCGCTGGAAGTGCGTGCACTGCGGATGCGGGAAGACGTCAGTCAAGTCGGCGGTCTGCAAGCACTGCGGCGCGCCGAGGACGGCTCCAGCTCCTGTCATTCCTCCTGGGCCTCGTGGCGTGTGGTCTCATCCGCTTGGACAGCCTCAGGCGCCAGGAGTCAGCGCCCCTGGGACCTGGCACGCGCTCCCACCGGGATCCCAGGTGCCCGCCGCCGCCCCTGTTGGGCTACAGCTCGCCGCTTCGGGCTGGACAGGCGGGGCGCAGCAGCAAGGGGCCTTGGAGTACGGGGCCTCCGACTTGCCCGAGCTCCGGGAGTTGGTGCGCACCTTCGCCTCCCTCGGCGACAAGCGGCAGGAGCAACACTACCGTCGGCTGGTGGAACAGCTCGAAGCCGCAGCCAGACCGCCTGCGCCGCCGACGGTCGGGGCTGCCAAGCACGCGCTGGGCCAGGCGCGGGTTCAACTCGACCGAGCGGTGGCGGCGGCGGAGAAGCTCGAACAGCAGCTCGACGCGGCCAAGCATGATGCCATCGAGGCGCATGCCAACTTCACGGAGTGCGAGCGCAAGTACCAGGAGGCGGTCAAGGCGCTCCAGGC